TAAAATACAGGTTTTGAATGTTGCCGTTGATCAGTCATCAATGCGGCTGCAAATTGACGTGTTAAGCCGCGTTAGTGCCCCCGTTTGATATCTGAACTGCTCAGCCTATATACAATACGAGCTTTACTACCCGGCTTCACCCAGGACTTGGATTCACCACGTCCGGTCGCCTTTGTCTCTCCAGTGGCGATGTTCAAACACCACACCAGTTACTCGTTTGAGGCTGAGTCGACCTCGGGGAGGCCCAGGACCGGTTCAAATAATCGTCACCGGTGGTGGCAGTGAGCAGGAATCGAACTCGGGTCGCCGGGTTCGTAGCGCAGCGCACGAATCGCTACGCAGTCGCTCCCCCCCCACACACACAAGATAAAGACAAAGATCCCCCGTGTAGCCTGTGAGACTGTTGGGGGCAAGTGCTGTTAGCGAGCACCTATGAAGGCCGACACGGCACGACAGGGGTTGCAGAACCTTGGGCTACATGAATCTTAGCCAAACCTTATGGGTGGCTTAAGGTTTGTTTTTCCAAGCCTCAGACATGAAAAATGACACATTCTAAGGCTGCCAGGCTGGTTCTGTCTCTAAACAAATCCACTGAACCATCATAACCCCCAATCATCAGACCCAGTGACGGAAAACACCACAGAACAACTTGTATGTTGAACGTCTTTTGCACAGTACTTAGCCATGAGTCACCTCAACCAATGAGGCAACGCTCCTTCACGTTCTGTAGAGGGGTTGTCACAAGTCAATCAACCGTTATATTTACAACCTTATTCCTCAATACTGGGCTTTGCTGCATAAAGCAAAAACATTATAATATTATATTTTGTGTGCAGTCAATCGTAACTAGACCATTAATTCACAACACTTGAAGACCCTGTTAGAATAACAAATGGCCAAAACCCACACTCCAACCCAGGATCTTGGCATTGCCAATTCAGTGTCTTGGCCATTAAGCCAAATAATACCACTTGGCTGCCTTTCAGCTGGTATTTCCAATGATTCTTTACCTGTATAAGCATATACAACTCTTGTTCATCTTATTGTCTTACTGTAGTTGAGTCACAGAATAAACCCACATGCCGCGTTTCTGGTTTTGCAACATTTTTCTTCCCATAATCTCTGGAATATTCAGCTAAATCTCTCACTTGAGAAAGAATTTTGGTCTAAAATTAACTCACCTACTTATAAGTTAGGTCATTGAATTAATACGCAAGTCGTCCCACCTACCACACACTGAATAAGTTCACTAACACATTACCCTTTCACAATGATAAAAGATGATACACCAACCTTGTCAATTATTTCACGTGAATTGATGTACAGAATATAAAGTCTGTCAATTATTAGTAAAAACACACATAATCGGAGGGACACACATTCCCATCATCATTACCTAAATTCATCCCAGGTTTGATTAAATGCATACCATACTCGTTGTTTTTTTTTGTTAAAGTCACGTAGGTTAAAAAAGAAAACAAATAAATTAAATCACGACGTTTCGGAGGCAACACAGCAAAATTACTGATACAGTAATTTTGCTGTGACGGTTCCATTATGGATAATATTGGTCGCGAAAGCCTACTACTCTACGTGTTAAACTAAAATCCGTTTTTTTTTAAACAGCTGCCCACAAGGGAGCAGCCAAAGAGCCACTGCATGCGGTTCGGAGCCATAGTTTGCCAACCCCTGGGCTACACGAAACGTATCCAAATCTTATGGGTGGCTTAAGGTTTGGTTTTCCAAGCCTCAGACATGAACAATGACACATTCTCAGGCTGCCAGGCTGGTTCTGTCACTAAACAAATCCATTGAACCATCATAACCCCCAAATCACTGACCCAGTGACAGAAATCCCCTGTTTGCCTCCTCCCCCACACAGCCAGCAGTGGACTTTGAGATTCCGCCATTTGAGCTTGTGAATTTTTCTACACGTGTAGCCAGGTACCACCCTGTTGCTGAAGAAACACAGCTGGATGAGATTCTGTTAATGATTGTGTGGTTAAGGTTTCACAAAACGTCAACAGTCACACCACAATTACTGTACAGGCGGCAAGACTCGCAACAGTACAACGCCCTAAGCTTAACGACAATATAAAATCAACAAAAATAAATCCAACTAATTTGGTAATTGTAACATATGCAATCAAAAGTCAAAAGTGTTCCCCGAGCACTGTTGTGGCGTTCATCTCTGTTTGCAACCTAATAGTCAGGGGAAATTCCACATTCCTGTGACGTGGGCTAGTATCTCAACTGGCACTCGGTTCATAAACCCCCATGAGATAATGGGTGAAGCCGACCGAGCGTTCTGTCACAGCAAACCTATGGTTTAAAAATAAATAAAACTGGACAATTTTTCTAAAATAATTGTTTGCTGGAACGCCAGACTCGCAATCAGCAGACTGCAGGTTAACATCCCGGTTGAAGATAAACACAGCCCATAAGCTCCCCCACCCAAGAATGGATGGTTCGGCCCTTCCTGAAGAATGTAGAGTTTTCACCACTCAATACGGAGATAAGCTCATAAAGATCTGCTCAAAAGGAACTCCTGAAATGAGTTGAGCACACTTGACCAGAGAAACCTTGCATTAAAGACTCGATGCGTAGACAATACAGATTCAGTACAGGCTTCCAACAGGCTCAGCGATTCATGAGTGTGCTTATTGCCACTACAGGTCCTGAGCCGATGACATGAATTTCATATTATTCTGGAGTGGATGACCCTAACCTTAACAATCCCTATTGCTTACTTCAATGCTTTCCCTCCACAATGCAGTGGTATAGTAATGACCACAACAGCAACAGCTGTATTGTACAACAGCATATTCACGTTGAATATTGTGAGAGTTATTAAAATTACATGTGAACAATGATATTTACAAACCCAACACACACTCACACGCATAGGGCACATGATTTGGAGGCAAGGGTTAGTGGATCATGTAGAGGTGTATAGTGTAAAAACCCGTAAAAGCAGTAAGATAGCCAGGATATAGCAGTACACCAAGTAGGCTTCTAACCCATCTGTGTCGTATCTTCTCTCATGCATACGTTTTCGCCAGGTACTCGAGTTTCCTCACACAAAGCACTCCTTAAAAATGAATTGGCCAGACATCTGAATGTGGCAGGGGGCACTCCTGAAAACGAGTCCGAGACCTTGAAAAGGCGTCGTGTTAAAACATAAACATTCGTGCAATGGGAAATCCCCTTTAGCATGAACTGATGAGGAAGAAGCTCACCATGGATCCTATCGTCCGTGTTTATCTTCGCATTTACTCAGCATAATCAATACCATCGTCGTCATCATCAATATCACCGCAACCATCACCGCTGATGAACATTACCGCAATCAACATCGCCACCGTTTTAACCCCGACAAAGTGGAACACAGAAAGAGAGTCATTCTCACACAATTAATCGCTCAACAATAACAGTATCATCATCGCCAGTCCATGACCAACAACAACCGCCATTCGCCACTAAGTGGGTGACATTACCACGGCGCTTGTGCCAGGCTATGTGCACGTTAAGGCCGCGTGAAGGATTGAACGCCCGCTGGTAGGTCACGGAACAGACCCAGCAGGTGCCATGGGTCGACTGACTGAGATGACTGGCCGATGCACCACCTGTGACCCCTACTGTGCTGTGTTTTATCCACCCGGCGCTCTGCTCGTTGTTGTGAGCATCGCTCCTCTGCCCTCCGTTTTTGCTGGGAAGGGCGATTGCCTCCAACTGCCCAGTAGCGTCATAAAAAAACATCACCAGACGAGCAGGTGGGAAAAGGCGTGATCCGCCTGTATGTTCCTACACCTCGTCTTATATCGGCTAGAGTATTTACCTTGTCGCAGATAACCAGACAACAGGATCTGCCAAAGCCCCCGGCGATTCCCTCGTGTCTTTGCCGAGGCACGGAAAATAGCGAGGATTCGCCAAACACAATTCTGATCACAACCTCTCTTAATCTCTGCGATGGCTCTGATAAATTGGCAATACGTAGGAGCGCACACAGACGCAAGATGCAATGCTCACATAAGGTGCGTCGATAATAGTGCATAAAGGAGACGCGTTTCACTCCAAACGACGTTCAAGTCGAACCTCGGATGTAATCATCTGTGACATTACAGCATTGTTGTGTTGCGTCCGACGCTACGCAGTCAACGGCATGTGCTACACGACATGTACACAAACATTGTTTGATAGATTCCATCATATATAAAGTATATGCCGACTAGAGCAGTCGCCACAGACACGCATACACAATGCATGGGTCTTGTGACACACTGGACACTCTTGCAAACGAGGTTGCCATACCGTGTCAACCCATACGGTTTACCCCGTATTCTTGTACAGGGAAATTTAGTTGTCACCATACGGCGTACAGCCGTTTCGATACGGGCAAATGTTTGTTTGGTCTATTTGTGTTTCTCCCCTGTGACCTGGTAGGATGAATGTTGAGATGTCTAAGGGGCACTGGGTGATCAATAAGGCCTGAATTGGTCTGTAATATCAAGGGATTGTGGCAAAATCTTCGAACTTTAAAAATAATGCGTATTGCTGCAAACCAGTCGAGGCAAAGGCACCAGTGAAATGCCCAAGGGTTCAATGCTGGACCCGACACTCAAAATAGCAATTGCCAGGCGCTACTACAACCAAGGTAACCCAGTAAATTATAACACTGTACAATTAACCAAATGATATTACATTGCATTATACCCGACATGATTAAACATTCAACAGCATTATTAAATCACTGACATTATTAACAACGCATACTTGTATTATATAATGCACGCTTATCTCTACATGAATAACATTAGATAACAATGTCATTGGATGTCGGCATTATTCAAGATTAATAGACAGTACATAAAACACGCTCCATTGCTAAAGAATAACAGTAAGTGAATCAAGCACGTGCCATAAAAATCATTCAACGCATTACAATATAAATATTGACATTATAACAATGCCACCACCGCAATATTGTCCGTCAATGTTACCTGGGCGGGTCCCGAAGGCGGGCCTACGTCTCGCCGCGCACGGCCCTGCGGGACGAGGGGCGCCTCCCCGGGCAGGACAACTAGCCGAGGCGCGGTATCCGGGCGGCTCCCCGGCGCAAACCCCACCCACCAACCCCAAGAACGCCGTACGCGAATCCCAGCGGATTCTAGCAGACGCCGCCAGACCCCAGAGCAACCGCGACGACACCCGCGCGGGGTAACGGGAGCGCAGAGGAGGTGTGGAGGAAGCCTCGGGGAGCCGAGGGAGCGGTGAGGCGGAGCCGCGAGTTGATCGCAAGAGCCCGGACGGAGTCCCCCCGTCACCCCCCGGGGGAAGACGGCTCTGATTGGTTGGCGCGGAGCACGTGGCCTGCTCGTCACGTCGCCTTGCCTTTAAACAAATTAATCTGAACACAACGACCCCTCGACTAACGAACGGGTTAGGTTCCAGAATCCAGAGTATAGTTAGTTTCCAGATGACATAACCTAACGAATTAGGTTCCAGAGGGCAGTTAGGTCCCAGAGGACATAACCTAACGAGTTAGGTTCCAGAGGACAGTTAGATTCCAGAGGACAGTGAGGTTACAGATGACATAACCTAATGAGTTAGGTTCCAGAAGGCAGTTAGGTTCCAGATGACATAACATAACGAGTTAGGTTGCAGAGGGCAGTTAGGTCCCAGAGGACATAACCTAACGAGTTAGGTTGCAGAGGACAGCTAGATTCCAGAGGACAGTTAGATCCAGAGGACAGTGAGGTTACAGAGGACAGAATCTAGCGAGTTAGGTTCCAGAGGACAGTTAGATCCAGAGGACATAACCTAATGAGTTAGGTTCCAGAGGGCAGTTAGGTCCCAGAGGACATAGCCTAACAAGTTAGGATCTGTTCGCCTTTTAGCATTTTCTGGTCTGACACTGGTGAGACTAGGCCCTAAAGAAGTCTGTCTCTGATGTTGGCCAATCAGTTTCAAAGACAATGCCATATATTATCAGAGCACGTGTGTTTTGCATGTTCACCACAGGTGCTTACGACTCTCAGTCCGAACAATCAATTGGATATGCAGACAGGTTTGTTCGTACATATGAAAGTTCGTAAATCGAATGTTCGTCGGTAGACGAGTTCCCATATTTATACTGGAGGAGAAATCCGATAAGCTATAAAGTTCTTGTTCACAGGTATCTAAGGAGTTTTCACAGATGTCCAAATAGAAAAATGACCCTGCTCACAGCCAACATTGGTCCTGACCACGGCGTGAGATCATTTAGATTATTTTGCTGCGATACATTTCCACATGATAACCCACTTTGTTGATCTATCATTTGTGGGCCACGTCGCTTCTGAAAAATAAATGAATACCTCAGTGGACTTTACCTGGCAAGTTAAATAATTGAGTTTTATTTGCATATATATTTTAAGTGATTTGTTTAGGGGCCGTCCATAAATGACGTCACGCGATTTTGGACGATTTTGACCCCCCCCCCCTCGTCACACGGCGTCGCAAAAAGTCAGACCCCCCCTCTTATATGACATCACAAAGCTCCCCCCCCAAAACCATATTTCCATTTTGAAAATAAAACATGCTTCAAATCGCTTTAAACTAGTCATTGTAGTGCGTATTTAATGTGGCGCTGCACTGTTGTAGGAGAAAACATTTATTAAAAAGTATATTTAATTAAGGAGAACGTGTTGTCTATATTTATTTAAAGTTGCGCATTTGATGTGCCGTCACATTTCTCACCCGCCCCTACTGGACATGTGAAAAAGAGCTTTATATCTCATCGGATTCCTCCAGTATGAATGAATATTCTGATTCCGATATATAAACTAAAACTATATATAAAACATGTATTTTACCAGGGAAGGCACACTTTTCCGAAGCCACCTGGCCACAAATGATAGCTCAATGAAGTGGCTTATGGGGTGGAAATGTAAAATGCAGCCAAATACACTAAACGCGAGATGTTGATTCTAATTGTGGAGGCAAAAACTGGAGCACCCGGAGAAAAATCCACGCGACCACTGGGAAAGTGAAACATGCAAACTCCAAATATACAGCAGGCGTCAGGATCGGAATCAAACTCACGACCTCCTGTATACCAGGCGAGGTAGTTAACATATCACCAACGTGGCACCCCTTGTATATACTAGGCGACGTTTCAGGCAATGACCCTTCTTCATAGCACCTATATTTAGAGGCCAGCAAAGAGACAGAGTGGATGAGAAAGAGTTGGAGACGACACTTATTTAAACCATAAGGCCTGATGAGAATTAAATGTTTAATGTGTTTCCTGATTACCAGTTTTAAAATCGGTGTATGGAGTTACCTATTAAGTCTCTTTTGAGTAGCAGACACACGTTTCAAAAAGCAAAACGAATAAATAATAAATAAAATCAGCTTTAATTTGTATTAAAAGCAAGCATAATTATAAAATGTAGCTGGCAAATTGCATTATGGGTGGACCTGTGGTTTATTTTATTTTTGTATCCAGGAAATCCACACCGAGCCATATGACTCTTTTTCAAGAGGGCCCTGCATTGTATTTAATCTTGAGATTTTTTTAGTCAATTACTGAGCATTTTTATAGAAGTGAGAGAATAAAGCAGAGCACCCGGAAAAAAAACCACGCAACACACGAGGTTGGGGGAGGGGGCAACACTACCAGGGGGTCAGCAACATGCAGCTCGGGAGCCGCATGCGGCTCTTTAATGAACTGCGGAAATATGAAAATATGGCTCCTCTTGTTACGTTGTTTAACGAGCCGTGCCCACGCTGACCATGGAAGTCCACTTCCCCATGGAAGTTCAGTTTAGCATGGGCCAGAGGGTCGGATCCCTGCGGTTCGTGAGCCGAATTCGGCTGGCTCATTAAGGACTGCTCCGTAACTCTTTATTTATTCAGGATCGTCTCCTACTCACGGAGATTGTGGCTCTTGAAATATTGGGTTTTCTTTTCACCGAATTCGAAAAAAATGGCTGAAATGGTTCTCCTCTTGTTGTTTTGGTTGCAGAGCCATGCTCGATACAGACGGAAACAGATGGCGGTTTTGCAACTTGCTGTTACTGCCTTCTGGCGAGCCAGGGGTGTGGCACCGCGATGTCCACGGGAAGGGAGTTTCATATCTGTGTGTGCGTGTGAACCACCAACCCTCTCTGATGCCTCCGCAGTGCTGGGTCACAGGCAGCGAACAGCCACCACTGCCCGGCTGCAGTGAGGTCAATGAAACTGTAATTAGCATAATCCACTTATTGATGCATTCCTGGGCCCAATTATCATTGCAATAGGATTAGAGGGGCTCTCAGGAAATGGACCACCACCAGCACCGGGAGCAACATCACCATCAACACCGGGAGCAACATCACCATCAACACCGATAACACTGCCACCACTAGCATCAGTACCACCACTTGCACCAGCACCAACACAAATGCCACAATTCTGGCTAATCGTCTGATGAGGCTGGTTGTAATCACCAACAAATTGTAAATATCGTGGGTTTACTCTCCCAACACACCGGTGTGCTGAAGTCGTAACTCACTGCAATGTTTTTTTTTACGTGACGAAACCTTACTAATTGGCTTTGCCGGGTGGTGGCGGGTTTAACGACACATTGTGGACCACCACTGCTACAGTACTGCCACTTTAACAGTACTGCCACGGGTACCGCCATCACCACAACCATCGCCACACCTGGATAAATCTCACAATGCGCGCTTTGCGAAACCAAAAACAATACAAGTCTCACTTCTGAGAATTTGTAACAATACCACGAGAAATGTGCCTCCGGGCTCTGGAGACCACCTGGAGAATATTCCAAGCACGTGTTGACAATGATGGTGAACAAGTGGAGACTCTTTGAAGCTATTAACATACATTTGTTATCACGGCACAGCGTGTTATCCGTTCTTTTTCCATTAAAGACGATAGTCCTATAAAAGTGTTAACCAATTTTTTTTAAAGCACCCTGTAACATGGGAATGGCCGACGAAGATCCAGAGGAAAGGGGCTCTGGGCACGAACACAGGACTCGTTTGTGAGCAGCTCAATCAGTCGTTCATAGCAACAGTCGCGGCCGGTAGGAGGCCCCTCTGTGGAAATGTCAGGGTGGTCGGGTTTCACGCCAGGGAGGATGAAAAGAGCCTCCGGTGTTTTTGGCCCCATTTCCATTTTCGCTGCGTTTGCATCAATGCCCTGCATTAAGACTTGCCTCGTGCATGCATACACACCGCGCGCACGCTACATACACAGACTAGTACAGACACATACATACACGCACAGACACATAGACGAGTACAGACATACATACACGCAAAGACACAGACACACAGACGAGTAGACACACATACAACAACAACCGCCATTCGCCACTAAGTGGCGGTGACGTCACCACGATGCTTGTGCCAGGCCAAGTGCACCTTGAGGCCACGTGAAGTGTCGAAAGCCCGCTGGCAGGAGGTCACGGGGCAGACCCAGGTGCCACGGGTCGACTGACCGAGATGACCGAGATGACTGGCTGATGCACCACCTGTGCCCCCTACTGTGCCAACTTGCTGTGCTTTAGCCACCCGGCGCTCCGCTCGTTGTTGTGAGCGTCGCTCCTCTGCCCTCCGTTGTTGTTGGAGGGCGACTGCCTCCAACTGCCCAGTAGCGTCCTTCACGAGCCTCCTCCACTGAGGCCGATCTTGACACCGCTGGTACCAGTCATCGGCAAGTCCACTCAGCTCCACGTCCTCCTGTACCACATCACTCCATCTCTTCTCCAGCCCGTGCCGCGCCCGTCTAGCCCCCTCGATCCGGCCGAACAAAAGCTGTTTAGGCATGCGGTGGCTGGACACACATACACACAGATTAATACAGACACACAAACACACAGACACCGCACGCACACGACATACACACAGATAGGCACAGACATATACACAAATACATGCACAGAGACAGAAATACAGACACACATACACATAGACACACAAACAAGTACAGACACACAAACAAGTACAGACACATACAAAAAAAGGACAGATCCCCCGTGTAGCCTTAACAGACTGTTGGGTCAAGTGCTGTTAGCAAGTAGAACCTATAATGGGCAAGGATTGCCCGTTACACACACACACAACACAAGGATGACCCAGTTACACACACACCCACACAAACATAAGGATTGCCCAGTTATACACACAAACAAGAATTGCCCAGTTACTCGCACACAAAACAAGAATTACCCAGTTACACACACACACAACAAGAATTGGCCAGTTAAATACACACACAACAAGAATTGCCCAGTTACACACGAGACAAATATCCCAGGCCAAAAGTTCCAAGGTCGTAGGGTTCTAAGTACCACTGTGCTCCACACACAAAGACAAACACATACACAGAATGCACATTCATTAAATTACCAAGTTCCCTGTTGGCACAGGCAGATAAACAACCACGTCTTCTTCTACTTCTAATGTATGACGAGTATGTGTAAACACTGTATACATCCAGGTTTACGTTTGTGAGCCATGTGATAGCTGTGGGAGTATTGTGATGAATACCGTCCAGTGCACCGGAAGAGCGGGCATAGAATCCGGCTGTTCAACCACTGTTAATTATACATAAATATTGCCTTTATTGCTTTTAAGAATTGCATGTTACATACAAATGAAGAAACAAACATCGGTACACGCACACACACGTAGGCAGCACTTCGTAAGAAGTCAAAAGTGATCGCCCTATGAATAGGCTGTCCCTCCAGCATGGGAATGTGGAATTTCCACCACTGGTTTGTGGCCACCAAGGGAGAGGAGCACCACCAGCCACTGCTCGTTTGAGCGGGGAGACACCGCGACACCACAGGTAATGTAGTCGCACGGCGAGCGTGTCGCAGCACTCATCTTGGAAGGTCGCGAGATCACATCCCGGTTGAGGTTCAGTGCAGTCCATCTTCCCACCTTGATCGATAAAATTATCACTTTGTCAAAAATGCACAGTGCGTTGTCCTGTGTAGAAAGTGGCCCTTGCCATAGCACTGTTCACGATTGGCTCAGGGCCAATCATGAACAGTGAAACACTTTGACGTGACTTATGATGCCCACATATTACCTATACAGTACAACATTGTTTACATGTAAACTACGTACATATACAGGGTGAACCATTTATAGACACCTCAATGATACCTAATGAGACCTCTTCCTTTTCAATAGCTGATTGAATTTTGTGAATGTACCGGCTCCATGCCTGAAAGAGGAACAAAGGAAAGTGGTAGCACGGAGGCGTTGTTCAATTCCCACCACGGCCGCCACGCAACCATTTCACTCCGCACGGTCCAAAGTTCGACCTCGAGTTCGAGTCGCCGCGGTGCTGACGTGCCCCACCAACCCCGGCACTGTAAGCGACCGACGGGTTCAGTTGTCAGGTTCAAGCAAGGCCGTGAGAGGCCAACGAGATCCTGGATAAATGAGAGCATCATCCACAGCAGACGAGTCTCCGGTCGTGACAATGACAACCACGGACACTGGGACAGGAGCAGCTCAGTGTGTCCAAACACTCGCCACCAACCACCACACCAAGAAAACCAATACACGAGGTTAACTAATAAAACAACAACCCTCTTCACTGGTTAAATGAAAAGCACGAAACGGAAATAATGACCACATTTTTGTGCTGTGGAGAAAGTCCTGATAAAATGCCCCCAAATGAACGCGTATTTTATATTTTTAATTTTAAGGCCACAGTGTTTTTGACGAGGGTATTTGGATGTTTTGTGATCTGTGCACCACTGCCTCCGCAGTTTCTCACAATTGTTGGCTTCATTTTTTTTTTACGAGATATAGAAAGCGTCGTTTCCTGACGGGCATTCGTTCATTCAATCACCAGCAGAGACCGAGTACCCAACGGCCCTGGGTCATCGGCATTCAGTATGGCTCTATGACAGCGCTTCCCACCGTCCTCCTCGCTTATCTGCGCGCCCTCACGTCAGCATCATCTCTGCAGCAGCGGGTTCTTCTGGCCAGCCAGGCTGGGCAGCAGGGGCAGGGTGGCCTTACTGGGCGCCTGGGATGGCGAGGAGGAGGCGGCAGCTGCAGACTTGCTTTGCGTGCGACGCACAAACGACGGCACCTGCGCCACACGTCAAGCGACACACGCGTTCGCAATCGGCGTCACGTCCGGGCATCTCTCCCCCAAGCAAGCCCGCAACCTACATCACCTGCCGTGTGTGTGGTGGACGCTCATCCCAAGCGCCTATCCGGGCCCCGAGGCTGCTTAGCCTTCCCGAGATCCGACGAGACCGCGTGCATTGCGGGTGCTTCGGTGCACCGCGTAACGAAGCTCGTGGATTTTCTGGCCGCCGTGATAGCAACATCACGCGCTGTGCTGTGTGACGCATAAGAACCTTCACGTGTACCCGCTATGATTTACACTATGTGCACTGCGATGTCATGAAATGCCACGTGCACTGCTATGTACTGGGTACATGGCGTGCTTCTGTGCTACGTCACATGTACCACTACGTACAATATTTTAGATTGCCGTAAAATGTAACGTGTCCTACTATGTAACGTGTATGCTATGTCTATTTCCATGTACCATGTACTCAATGTGTACCGCGATGTGCACCGCTATGTGTCATGTATGCTATGTGTATCACTATGCGCCGTGTGCGCTATGTGTGCTGCAATGCACCGTGTACACTCGGTGGACTGCGGTGTGCTCCCTGTTCTACGTACGACCGGGGGAGACGAGGGGTCCAGGTGTCGCCCCAGGAAGGAGAGAAGTCGCCTCCACATGAGACCGCTCCCCAGCAGCATGAGCCCCGTGACCAGCCAGAACACACGTGGGTCCTCAAAGCACCAAGACGAACACAAAAAAAAGACAAAGATCCCCCATATAGCCATAACAGAATCCCGGGTCAAGCGCTGTTAGCGAGCACCTATAAAGGCCGGCACGGCACACGAGAGGGTGGCCAGCACCACGCACGGCCACCTTTGTCTTCCGAGTAACGATGTTGACACATGGTAACAGGTACTCATTGAGGCTGAGTCGACCGAGGAGAGACCCTGGACTGGTTCAGATAATCGTTATTGGTGTTGGCAGTTGGAGCAAGTGGCATTAGTGAGCACCTATTAAGGTGAGTACAGTGCACGAGGTGGTGTGACCAGCCCTATGGCTGATCATCATCGCCTTCCCAGTGCTGGTGCTGAAACACCACACCAGGTACTAATTTGTAGCCGAATAAAATGAGAGGGGCCCAGGAGGTGCATGGAGATCACTTGCCACTGGTTTTGCCCGTGGCTGGGAATAAAGCCCCGGTCACTGAGATCATAGAACAGTGCACTAACCAGTACGTCACGGCTCCACCCACGCATAACAACACCACCAACAGCTGACATTCGTCGCTAAGTGGCGGTGATGTCACCAAAGCGCTTGTGCTGGGCTCCACGCACTTTGAGGCCACGTGAAGAGTCAAAGGCTCGCAGGCAGAAGGTCAGGTGACATTATTTTTAGGAGGGTTGTGCTTTGTTCTCCATGTGGGAGGAAATCACAGTGCCTGGAGGAAACCCATAAGAGGGGGACAGGAAACTCAAGCGCCACTCACAGAAATCTGCCTGTGGTTCTGCTTTCTACAGGTCAGTGGGTGTCATCACACCCATTGCCATCATGACTCCCATCCCTGCGTGATCCACCAACCCTGCGACCAATTTGCCGCAGGAGCAGGCGATGGCAGGCGGTGTGCATACCTCCTCGAGCGACGAGTTGAGATTCATGCCAAAGGCAACGCCAATCAGCCCAAACAGTGACAGGGAGAAGGTGCCCATGGTGAGCTGCAGATTGAGCCGCATCATCACGTTACGGTGGCTGCGCACACACACAAACAAAGATAAAGATTCCCCGTGTAAGCGCAAAATACTATTCGGGCAAGTGCTGTTAGCGAGCACCTATGAAGGCCTGCACGGCACACGAGGGGGTGGGTGGCCAGCACCGCACCCGGCTGCCTTTGTCTGGCTAGTGGCGATGTTTCCACACCACACGGGGTACTCATTTGAGGCCGAGTCAAGCTAGGGGAGGACAGGTTCAAATAACCGTCAATGTTGTTGGCCGTGAGTGGGAATCAAACGCGGGTCGCAGGGTACGCAGCGCAGCGTGATAACCGCGAAACAACTGCGCACACACACACATACGCACGCAGGATGGCCGCTTGGTAAAATTAGCGCATGCTGACTTGACAAGTAACGTCATATGTCACATGTTCAGGCGTTGTGACGTCATCACGTGGCATCGTGATGCGTGTACCTCTCGTCTCTCGGTTCTGCATAGCTCTCTCATTTAGCTCCCTTTCATCACACTCACCTCTCTAACTTGTCTACCACTCTCTCATCTCTCTTGTTCGACTCCCTTACATCTCTCTAATCTGTATCTCGTTATGACTCGATGATCGATCTCGGGTGGCCCTAGCAAAGTGGGTAACTTGTTATCTTATTTTATATTTATAGAGTGCTTTAGCTTAAGTCGCTTTACATAGCTTATAAGCGGTACAAAAATTTAGTGATTTATATGGCATGGGGTCAGGAAAGGGCTATAGGGGAGGGACGGGAAGGAGTGGAGGGGCGAGGAAGGGAATGGGCAACGAAGAAGAGGTGATGCTTTAAGATAGGAAAGAAAGGAGGTTAAGGAGGGAGACTGCTAAATGTACAGGGGCCTCAATTAGGCCGCCAGTCAAAGAAGTCTGCTTGAGCAGGCTGCATGACCGTGCCGGTGAGCGAAGCAATGCACCTGTCGAGGTTGAGGAAGATGACGCTCTCCGAGTCGTCGATGAGCCCCTTGAGCTCGCGCACGGCATTGAAGAGTGCGTCGGCCTCATGCAGGAACACCTCGAGCAGCAGCTCCATCTCGTCCGCGTGGTCCATGCCCACGCTGCTCGCCTCGCTGCTCACCATACGCATACACAACAACTGCAATTCACCGCTAAGTGGCGGTGACGTCACCATGGTGCTTGTGCCAGGCTATGTGGATTTTAATCCCACTTGAAGCGTCAAACGCCCACTGGCAGGAGTTCACGGGGCAGACCCAGGTGCCATGGGTCGGCTGACTGAGATGACTCGCCGATGTACCACCTATGCCCCCTACTGTGCCAATTTGCTATGTTTTAGCCATCCGGCGCTCCGCTCGTTGTTGCGTCACTCCTCTGCCCTCCGTTGCTGCTGGAGGGCGACTGCCTCCAACTGCCCAATAGTGTCCTTCACGAGCCTCCTCCAGAGGCCCATCTTGACAGCAATGGTACCAGTCATCGGCAAGTCCACTCAGCTCCACATCCTCTTGTACTACATCACTTCATCTCTTCTCTAGACCGTGCCCCACGCCCGTTTAGCCCCTTCTATTTGGCCGAACAAAAGCTGTTTAGGCATATGGTGCCCGGGCATGCAGTCTACATTACCCAGCCAACACAGCCTTGCCTGCCAGGAAAGCTCAAGGATCTGTGAGCTCACAAAATTCAGCCTGGTTAAACCCAGGATGGATCGTAGGCAGGCCAGCCTAAATATTTCTAACTGGCTAAAAAGTTATCTTTGGGGGGTCCACGTTTCGCAAGCATAGAGCAGGGAGGGCATGACCGTGGCCGAGAAGACCCGAAGCTTCGTGTGGAGTGACAGACCAGGTAGCTTTCACACAGCGTTATGCAGCCAATGAAAGGATAATGCCGCTCGACTTCCCCCTTTGTGTTAGACTAAATAAACGTGTTGCCTCCAACGTGATGCCTGGGTCTCCATATATACCCACCACACATGCACACAAACGCCTGCCCAGGTACGCAGGTGGTGCGGTGCGAGAGTGGTGGAGCCAGGTGGAGGCGGGTGGAAGTGGGTGGAGGTAAGGAGGCGAGTGCCGGGCTGTGTGGAGGAGCCCCGTGTGCTCTGCGAGCCGCACTACGCTCGTGGGTTGCTCCACTTGCTGAGGCACAGCTCCTCCATGAGCTCCTCGTCGTCCAGGATCTTCAGCAGAACGTCCTTGAGCACACGCACGTCCGTCTCCAGCTCCGACAGGCTGCACACATGCAGGCACACGCACGGTTGCACACAGTCGCAACACATATGACGCATGCAAGCACGGACACTGGGCGCCGCGGTGGTGAGATGTTAACTGCCTCGCCTGGTATAAAATACAGGAGGTCGTGGGTTCGATCCTGACCCTGACGCTTATATTATTTTGAGTTTGCATCGTCACCCTGTGGTCGCCTGGATTTTTCTCCGCGTCCTCTGGTTTTTCCCTCCACATTTAGAATCAACGTGCGTTTAGAGTATTTGGCTGCAATACATTTCTACGTAACAAGCCACTTAGTTGAGCTATAATTTGTGGCCAGGTAGCTTCTGAAAAAGAGCTATACAGCTCAGTTGGCCTGACCTGGTAAAATAATAATAGTTTACAGTTTTTTTATTTATAGCTTTACACAGAGAGAGAGCCCATGGATAGGGAGAAACACGATACATGCACACAGAGAGAGAGAACACAGTCAGCTCACTAACAACTACAGACGCGCGATTCACACGCACGCAATGACTGAACAAGACCCTATCACCAAGTGTACAGAGACAATGACCAGGGCGGCGAGGAGCAGTGAGGGACGATGGTGCAGCAGGGGTTGGCGAGGCGTGGTGAGCGAAGACGCTGCGCCGCTGGAGTCACTACTCACCTCTTGCTGCTCTGAAGGAGGAGGTGGAGTTTCCCGCGGTCGATGGACAGGAGTTTGGGGTCAACGAGGGCATCCAGGATGGCCATGATGGCCGACTCCAGGTCGCCGAGGCGGCTCTGCAGCTCGCTCAGCTGCGCCGGACGACGCCGACGACGTGCGGATACACGCGCGCGTGCGCACATACAAAGACAAAGGTCCCCAGGGTAGCCGACACAGGTTGGACTCGAAGTGTGGCGAGCTACCCACTGCGTTACCACTGCACCCCGTGACAAAAACACAAGGGAGCGAAGATATTCGGCAGGTCGAAAGCAATGCCGCTGCGCACGATCGTGTGGTTGCGATCTACCGCCCGTTGCTGTTGTTGATGTCCGACGTTTCACTCCACGTGCTGGGGGCTACTTCAGCCACTGAAGCTCCCGGCACGTGGAGTGAAGGGTCAGGCAACATGCCGAACAACACGCGGCAAATACACTCCAGATGGGAGAAAAATATTCACAGATTGATGATATTCATTCCTGGAAGAACAGATATTTGAAGGAAACACACATGCACATACTCATTGATGCTACTCCAGAAGCCCCTGGTCTGACCTGGTGTCCCCTCGTCTGACCTGGTGCCCCCTCGTCTCACCCAGTGCCCCCCCCCGTCTCACCCGATGCCCCCCCTGTCTCACCCGGTGACCCCCATCCCATCTCAGCTGGCGCCCCCTCCTCTCACCTGGTGCCCCTCTCTTCTCAGCTGGTGCACCCCCCCCCAAAACCCCCCGTCTCACCTGGTGCCCCCCCTCGTCTCACCTGGTGCTGCAGGATGGCCTCGAGGGCCCAGAACTCGAAGGGCAGCGAGTAGGAGGCGAGCTGCCCCTCCCCCGCCAGCTGGGGGCCCAGCTCCGCCTGCAGCCACGACTCGAGGCTCGGGTGACGGTAGTCGAGCACCAGCAGGCTGTCGGTGCTCACCACGGCCTTCAGCTGCTGCTCGCTCCGCACGGCACGGGAGGGGCGCAGTCAGCCGGGCAGTCGAGCAAAGCGTGGGCCGAGTCGCCAATGCTAGCGGTCAGGCAGTCAAGCAAGTGGGCAGACGTTTCATGCAAAACCATCAAGCGATCATCGCTCAGTGTGCCCATGAAGACAAAGATCCCCCATACAGCCTTGACAGACTGTTGGGGCAAGTGCTGTTCGTGAGTAGCATTGATGAAGGCCGGAGCGGCGCACGAAGGGATGTGTGGCCGGCACCACACCTGACCGCTTTTGTCCCCCAAGTGGCGATGTTTGCATGTTACACTAGATACTAATTTGAGGATGAGTCGACCTAGGAGAGGCCCAGGGCCGGTTCAGATCATCGTCACTAGTGTTGGTCATGAGCGGGAATCGAACCCGGGTCGCCAGGTTCGTAGCGCAACGCGCTAACCACTTCACTACCACACGTGCACACATGCGTACACATGCGCACACATGCGCACACACCCTCGCGCACACACGCGCACACCTCCATGTGCAGGATGATGCGGTTGTTGCGGGTGAAGATGCCAACGGGAGGCTGAAAGCGCAGGTCTCGCGCCTGGAGGCCCAGCTCCGTGTAGAGCTCCGTCTTGCGGCGCTCTGCATGCGCCCATGGGGGGCCACGGGGCGATGGGGGCGCCACAACCACGCATGAGCACAGCCACGCGCTACACTTCTACAACCTGGAGTAATTGGGAACTTTGGTTAAAGAAATTTAATAAGCGTGGGGTGCAGACGACAGGTGAGTGGCTGTTTGCAGCGGTCCCCACCGAAACAACACACCAGGCCGGTCTTGTCGAACTTCATCTGTGGAGACAGATGCCAGCATTAGGACACATGCAGCAGCACGAGGCTCCTAAGCCGGCACAGGATAAAAAAAATGCAGCCAAACACCCCGCCCCATCCCAGGGGCGCCATGGTGACGAGCTGTTATCACCCTCGCCTGGTATACAGGTCGTGGGTTCGATCCTGACGCTTGTGTAGTTGCAATTTGCATGTTCTCCCCGTGGTTGCGTGGATGTTTCTCCGCGTCCTCCGGTTTTTCCCTCCACATTTTTATAATGAACATCACGTGTTTAGAGTATTTGGCTGCTATAAATTTCCATATGATGAGCCGCTTCGTTGAGCTATCATTTGTGGCCATGCCGCTTCTGAAAAAAACTATATAGCTCAGTGGGCCTTATCTGGTAAAATACAAATTGTTCAATAATAGTGATCCCGCACGTCCTATTGATGTTTACCACTTAGTTGTGGGAAGTCAGCTGTGGCCATCCAGTGGATGGACTGGTTCCTGCCAAAACAATGTGGCATTTCCACAGCTGGCTAAGGGCCACCAACGGAGGAGTGACCCCCCATTGCTTATCCGAGCAAGAAGACACTGTGATTTGAGCCGGTTAATTAGAAAGGCTAGAAGCAGCTGCAGGTACGATGGGCATTTGTGCCCTGCCCTCTGCTACCCACGACGTAGCCGACAGCAGCCCACAACACCTGTTTTATGCACGGCGGGCACCTATCCAAGCACTACCCAGGCCGCTTAGTTTCCTAGATTTGACGAGATGGGGCAGATTCCGGGCAATTTGCTCGTAGGCACTAAAGTATGGGAGATAAAAAAAAAATCAAATCACTCACCACGCTAAACACAGGGATGACACTGGCAAGGGCTGCCTGTGAGGGATCAGAAGAGAAGTGTCTACCTGTGAAGACACGAGTGAGAGGGGGCATCGCTTACAAACTCACAGCTCAACGCAAGCACGACAACTCTCGACAGCCAGAGCACTCGGGGGCTGAGTGGACCGGTGGTCACGGCGTTCCACCACTGAGCCACTTGGCATGGACGTGACAGCTCGATTCCAGCTACAGTTGCCAGATAATTTCTGTCACCTGACAACCAGCTGGGTCGCGCTGTGGATGGAAAGGCTGACCCATAAAAGGAATATCACAGGTTCAAATTCAGGTCTGAGCCCCGTGTTATCCCACTGCTGAATGACAGTCTTCCCCATTCTGTTTATACCGTGGGAATTATTGCACCATACTTCACCATGCTGGTCAGTGCGGGTTAGTGAAGGGCGGAGGGCGAGGCCTGGACTGGTTCGAATTTAACTCAGAATGGATGAAAGCTGTGGATGGGAATTTTTTTACTTTAAAAGTAGCCAGGCCAAAATTACAAATACATGTGAATGGCGGTTAGTGATGTCAAGGCGGGTACTGAAGGAACAGCGTCAGCTCCTGCAGCTGATTTTCGAGTTCATTAACTGGTGAAGCACTAAGCAGGTCGAGTGAAACGTCACCGTACATTGTTACATTCAGTCATAAAAAGTCTTGAGCCATTGGTGAGAAGCTTATAAGTCAGAATTTGATTAATATATTGGCCATGTATAAATACTATCTTTGTAAACGTGACGATCTGGTCCAGTAGTGGAAGATGAATGACAATAATTTTGGCACTAAACCACCACGTGGACTGAACCAAGAACAAAAATGTACGATTATTGTATTAACTACAACCCATACGGGTTCGAGTACACTCAACCACCGTTGCTCCAAGTGATATTGCAGTACGCATTCCAACATTTGGTGCCCTCATTCACGCACTCACCCATGCCCACTGCGCTGTCGCCCCACAGCGGCGGCGACGTTAGCAGCAGCCGGGGTCTCCACCGGCTGCCGGGCCGAGGGGGGGACGGTGGCAGTGGTGCAGGGCGGAGACCCCCCCGCGCCCGCACGCAGGGGGGGCACACGGAGCAGGCGGTACGAAGCGGAGTCGTGGAGGGCCCGGCTCGGGTCACCACGGCCCCCCACACGAGAGTGACGACCACTCTTCTTGACGGGAGCTGGTGACACGGCCACATCGCGGCGGAGTTCTTGCCGGTCGCTCTCAACTCTGGCCGTCAATGTCTGTGCTGCTCCTGCTGCTGACGGTGGTGATGCTGATTATCTCACTTGAAAAAGTTTATGTGGATGCTGTTGATGGCAATGTTAATGAAATGGCTTCAATAAGTTGATAACATTAATGCTGCTGCTGATGGTGAGGACGCTGATTAAGATATTTCTGCTGTTGTTGATGCAATGTTTATGAGTTTGTATGTTGAACTTATTTTGCACCGTAAGTAGCCAACCGGAGGTGCGGGGGGAAGGACAACAAACTTAACACAAAAAGCAGTCCTAAAGAAATTAGTTTTCAATGTATATGTAATCCAACTGATGAAATCATCATCAGTTTGATTGCATTGTTGATTTCACCACGAAAAGTGCCTAATGTTGATTATTATTCTTGCCAAACTATTCGATTGTTTGTATAACCACACGGCTCTTATCGGGTTCAATAAAGGTCGTGCAATTTTTCTATCTGGACATCGAAGTTCACACCGTCATTGCGTATTGCACCTTTGCAGCTCTTGTTAAACGCATTACGGTTTACCCCGTATTCTTGTAACAGGGAAATTGAGTTTTCAGGGTCCATACGACATACAGCCGTTCCAATACGGGCAAAAAAAATTCTAGTTGTATTTCTCCCTTGTGACGGGGTGAACGTTCAGATGTATAAGGGGCACTGGGTGACCAATGAGGTTTCAATTTGTGTGTAATAAGGTAGGCACTGATATGGGGTTGACAGGTATGGTATTATGTTTCACACTATATCATGTGCAGCAGCCGTGCCGGGTCAATGGGTTCATCAGTCCGTCTAGCGTCTTCCACCAATTTCCCTTTCGAGTTAAGATGACGCCCCCCTCCAGCTTCACGGCGTCATTGCCAACAATATGACGGCTCTCGCCGAATCGAAGGCTGCAGCGGTGCAATCTGTGGAGACCCGGCGCATGGCAACAGCAGCAGTCATGGGTCACGGTGACGATCACTCACGATGATGTTGGTGGTGGTCATCTGTTCCGCCCCTGCAAGTGAGATGCACCATCACTGGATATATATCCCTGCGGTCTCTATGCAATAACACTGTAGCCGTAGCACTATCGTTGCAGGATTAATGATTATAATTATTAGTACGCCACTACCAGCGGCCACGCACTTGAAAGTTCTTCGACTGCACTTGACGGCCCGGCTGCGTTAGCTGCTAACGCGTCGAAGGCAAGCGCGCACACGTTTAATTGCAGCATGCGATATCCACACACGTGTCTATGTACAGCACATGTGTTGGAGAGCAAATCCACAACATTGTTAAATCCACGACGTGTTAAGCAAACACACATCTCAGCACTGCCGACTCGAGCCGCGTTCAAGGCTCGGTCTGGTTCGTCTGTCACGGGGGCGAGTGAGACGGTAACTCTGTCCGGTGTGTGTGTAGTTTATAACTTCCCTGCTATCGGCTGAGTTAATTAAGCGACAATTTGGCTGCTGCAGGAGTCGTCCTCGCATTTGACCCACGAGCACCTCGAGCCGCGCGGAACCACGTGCGGGCTAACCGGGAGTCGATTCGCGATTAAGAACTCCACGGGCGGATGGAATCGATTTCATTCACAAAACAACTGGGGAATCGCTAATAGAATACCCGCCTCGCGCGAATCGCGTGCTTGGAATCGATTCCTCACGAAGCGGAAGCGTGGGCGCGCGAGGCGACGGCGTGACCCAAACAAATGGCGGTGGGTGGGGGGTGATTATTTTTTCTCGAACAATTTTTTTAAAGAGACATTTGTTATTATTTATTCTTGTAAAAAGAAGAGAGACAAAAGTATTCCCTCAAAAGTAATTATAAACTGGTTATATATTTTTAAAAAATTGTGAAAACACAAAAAAATCCTCGGGTCAGAGGTCAAACTCCGCATGTGGAGGCGTGAAGTGGGGGGAGGTAGAGGGGGGGGTAGAGGGGGGTGGTAGAGGGGGGGGGTAGAGGGGGGGTAGAGGGGGGGGGTAGAGGGGGGGGTAGAGGGGGGGGATAGAGGGGGGGGGGTAGAGGGGGGGGAGAGGGGGGGGGTAGAGGGGGGGGGTATGTGACGTCACGCGCCACGTGGAAGCCACGTGTGTTGTTTTGAAGGGGCCGCCCATGCGCTCCGTCGTACGCGGTGCGCACCGCGGCGATCCATTCCCCGGCAGAGCCTCCCACGTCTCCCCGAGCCTCGCGATCCATTCCCCGGCAGAGCCTCCCACGCCGCCACGAGCAGCGAGCCGCCCCATCACGTGTCCGTGACACGGCCGCTTGGATGCAGTGGAGGCACCTGGCGACCGCTCTCCTGCTGTGCTCCCTCTACGTGGCCTCGATCCTCACGAACAAGGTTCGGAACGCCCCCTGGGTCGGGGTTGTTTGTCGTTCATCATATAGGTTGCGTTTTTTGGGGGGTTAGATCGCGTAATTATATAAAAGTGTCGTTAAACCATCCACCACCCTCAACAGACCATTAGTAAGGGTTTCACAGCATACCGGTGTGTTGGAAAGAAAATCCACAACATTTACAAACTGAGCACGACGTTTCGCCAGTAATTACAACCGGCATCATCAGGCGGACAGCCAGATTTGTGGAGAATTCCTCCTGTTTTGTTCTTTAAATAGAGGGATAGATGTGTGCAAGGTGGGGGGGGGGGGTAAATGCATATACATTTCAATGGGTATCCATTGCCGGTTGGGTTATACGTATGTTAATCAAAGCACATTATATGCATGCACTTTTCTCTTCTACCTCCTGTCATTTGCGTGCACTAAAATAACAGTGCCTGTTATTGTATGCGTACAGGTAATCTCTGTTGACATATGGTGACCTGTATAGGCATGCATTTAAACAATGCAGCACTAAGCCTGTTAACAAAAAATTGTCCGTGTCGGGTGGTGGCGGGTTTAACGACACAAATTTACGCGATCTAACCCCAAAAAATCCCCTATATTATGGATGATATTGGTCGCGAAAGCCTACACGTGTTTAAATTGTTTGTTGTTGATGTTATAGGCGCCTGCGAGGTCTCCATATGCTACGTGTTCGACGGCAGATGGCAGTGCAGACATAAACTCACCACTCCTGGCTGTCTTGCATGCTTCCAATAAGGTCTGAATTGGTCTGTAATGAGGTAGGCTCTGATAAGGGGTTGACAACTATGGGTGAAGTATGCTCGAGCAACCCCCTCCCCCTGCTGAATCTGGCTCCTGACAATATCCTAACTCCCCTACATCGTGTTCAATTCAAGAGTATGTGGGGGCTTGCGAGCCAACTTGCTTTACTGTAATATCCTGATCACCTTGATTCATGCTGGCTGGGCAGCCTCCACATCGCTGGTTTGCAGCTCAGGCACCTCCACAGGGATAAGCATAGTAGTTAGTATTCGAAATGGCCAGCACCGAGCGAGTTTTGCATTGTTTCACCAGTACAGTGTTTTCCACTGGAAATTGTGCAACACATGAACTAACACACAGTGATTGACTGAGCCGGTTTATTACCGGAAAGTGAGATCATCTACGTTGCCAAAGGTACAAATCGCTCACATTACGCATTCATATGCCCGATGCCAATAATGCACGACACAGGCCACACTGTTGACTTTCCATGCAATTTTTGTTGCCCCAAAAAGATGATGGGCTCCATAGGTCTCCACAACTGGCATTTTAATTGGCAGGTCTATGATCGTGATGGTCATAATCGTGATGATGATCATGATGATCGTGATGGTCATAATCGTGATGGTGATGATCGTGATGGTCATAATCGTAGGTCAAATGTTGTAAAAATGCAACAAACAGTCTAACGTAGTGCTGTGTTCTGTTTGCAGTATGTCCTCTCTGTCTTGAAGTTCACCTACCCAACGCTCTTCCAAGGGTGAGTGAAGGAAGCTACCAAGTTGGCAGCATTTTTGCTGCCAAGTTTTGACAATGGGTCCTAACCTCAGCTTACCTCAGAAGAGTTGAGGATGATAGACATTGCACGTGCAGAAGGTATTAGCAACCTGTACGTTTCAAATAAAACGTGACAACACGGCGTTGTAGACAATGATAAAGAGACAGTTGGGATGGCTGGGGTGGCACGTGTGCAGGATGTAGGATGGTGCCAGGACACAGAGACAGGCATTGGAGTGGAATATCGTGACTAAGGTGAAAACCTAGAGCCAGCTGGTGGTGATGAGGCTAGAATGGTCATTGAAGGACTTTAACGACTTTCACGATGGAAAAAACAAGCCAAATGCTGGGATGAGACCAAAAGAGAGTGGTGCTTTTGAAGGCTGTGATGGGTGTAGCAAGGGCAAGACCTAAAGCCTAATTATGGGATACAACTGTTACAATAGTCCTTCGAGGATATGTCACCTGCACATTATCTGCCTCGCCTGGTATGGAGAAGGTTGTGAGTTTGATCCCGACCCTGATGCCTTTATATTTGGAGTTTGCACATTATCCCCGTGGTCACGTGGATTTTTCTACGTGTCCTTCGGTTTTTCCCTCCACATTTATAAAAATGCGTTTTAAAGTATTTGGTATAAATTTCTACGTTTGCGGCCAGGTTGCTGCTGAAACAGGGTTGTATATCTCACTGGGCCTCACCTGGTAAAATGAAAATATTTTTTTTTGTTAGCATATCTTGTAAAAGGGATGGTAGAAATGAGACTTAACAAAAACACATAGTCATGTTTAGATATTGACTCTATAGCGGATGTGGCATCTGTCAAAGAAGGTTAAGTAGCATTACGGTCATGACCTCTTGACCTTGACAAAGAGCCAGAGTGAATGAAGTGTCCCGTGCCTTTCGTGCAGGTGGCAGACGCTGATCGGGGGGCTGCTGCTGCATGTGGGCTGGCGGCTGGGCTGCCTGGAGCTGTCTACTCTATCGGGGTGAGCCGAAGTGGCTTCCACCATTCACCAGAGTAGACCATCGAGTTGGAGGCCTCATCTCCCACCTAAATTTATAAAATGAAAATTCAAATATATTTGACAACTATCCTTGTAGTGGCTTCGTGTCTCTCTGCCCAAACAAGTGTTGGGGTAGTTCTCAGCTCTGTCGAGGGCCTGATGCCAGCAGTGCAATATTCCACTAAATAGCCCTTATATTATCAATCCCATAAGAATTGTGATTCTTGGCTGATTCGACCACCAACCAGGATTCGAATTCACGACCTAATAGCGAGTCGAGTACTCTGGCCACTGCTCCATGAGGCCGGAGAATGGTGATGGTGATGTTCCAACCGTGGATAATAATAGTAATTATCGCTGTCGGCTGTAATGAGTACGTGTGGTGGTTGTTTGTGAAGAACCGTGGTGGTGTCATGGTTTCCTGGAGCCCTCCTCTACGTGGCTGTGATTTACGCTGGGTCCCGAGCGCTGTCACTGCTGGTGAGTAACGAGACCACACGCACAACAGCAGACAAAACAAAGACAAAGAACCCCCATATTGCCTTAACATACTGTTGGGGCAAGTGCTGTTAGCGAGTTCCTATGAAGGCCAAGACGGCACACGAGAGGGGGTGGGTGGCCAGCACCATGCCTGGCCGCTTTTGTCTCCCCAGTGGAGAAGTTTACTACACACCGCACCAGGTACTCATTTGAGGCTGAGTCGACCTAGGGAAGGCCCATGACCAGTTCAGATAATCGTCATCGGTGTTGGCGATGAGCAGGAATTGAACTCGGGCCGCTGAGTTCATAGCGCAGCGCTAACTGCTACACCACCACTCCCTACCAATAACACGCACAACAGTGGACACAACGCTCCACGTATGTGCTGCAATACGCAAACAACAACAGCCGCCGTTCACCACAAAATCATGGTGATGCCAACACAGCACTTGTGCTAGGCTAGGTGCACTTTAAGGACATGTGTGGAAGGCTATATTGCTGGCAGGTCATGGGACAGACCCAGGTGTTTTGGGTTAACTCACTGAGGTGACTGGCAGGTGTTACCACCAGTGCTCCCCACCGTGCCAACACAACAGCAGGTACACAAACACACTCCATACGTACGGGGTGTCCAAAAATGAATATACCGAAAAGAACGTTGAATAGTTTTATTGTTATTCGAGATGCTGACATGAATGTAACATGAATACATGACTTATTCGTTTTAGAGTTTTGTAGTATTGATTCGATATTCTAGAATTATTAATAAACTTCTACATGCGGTTCATAATTCACTATAATCAATCTAATTTGGCGTTCAAACTCTGAGAAACATTTTCCAACACATCTGTATGGATGGCTGATGCCACAGTAGCATCAGCAATATGATGTTTAAGTTATTCAAGGTCCCTTGGTTTGCTAGCGTAGACTTTAATTTTTGACAAACCCCAGAGATAAATAGCTAATGGTGTTAAGTCGGGTGAACTGGCGGTTTCTCCTGAAGCAGAAAATAGCAATCAATATTCACAACAAGCTAAAACGTATAAGTCTAATGCATATATTCATATCAAATTTACGTCAGTATCTCGAATAGCAATACAACTATTCAACTTTATTTTTGGTTTATTCTTTTTTGAGCACACCCTGTATAAACTGCAGTGCACACAAGCGCACACCGTACACGCACTCAAACACTTGATGTGTAACAATTCGTGGATTAAAATGCATCATCACACATTCAGTGCGAGTTGATTAATCTGTAATAATTAATTGTTTAATATGTACATAAAATACCTGCAAAGCACGTTAAATGCTGACGTCAACATTCAGGCTAATGGCTCCGAAAAGACGTCACAGTTGGCAGATGGAAGAGACGAGATGCAGTGCACGCCAGACCGAAAATTAAAAATGCCACAAAGATTATTTGTAATTTTTTTGGGCGGGGGGGGGAAATAAACAGCGTTTACAAGTTTCCCTGTGTGTCCCGTGCTACTCGAGAACGAACGTGTTCGGATCGAGACTTGAGTGGTGCGTTTCTTCCCCCCCCCCCCCCCCGCGTGCCACCGTCTCCCAGCCGGTGCCCACCTTCCTGCTGCTACAGAACGCGTCGGAGGTGGTGCTGTGCCTGTGCTCCGCCGTGCTGTGCAGAGAGGTGAGCGCCTGCGCAGCCGCTCCCTCCACGTCGCGTGGAACGCGACCCTGCGGTCATCGTGCGCGCGCGCCGTGTGTCACCGCGCACTGTGGTCTTGTTATTCGACCTTTGAGTAAATCGGTGAACTCAGAAATGTGTACCACGTATGTTTTTATGTTGAACTTCTTTTGCACCGTACGTAGCTAATCGTGCTAATTGGAGGTGCGGGGGAAGGTCAACAAACTAAGCACGAAAAAGCAGTTCTAAAGAAATTAGTTTTAATTCTAGATGATGATGATTTGAAAGTGCATAGGCTCCAGTGGCTTCCTAATATCGTAAGGAAGAGCATTCCAGACGGCTGTAGAAGCGCAACTGAAAGCGCGCAATGCAGTGACCGTCTTTGGTGGGCTGCGAGGACTGCAGTGGTGAGAAACCCTACCCTAAAGGGCCCGGTGCAAGAGTGTTGAGCCAGCACATTTTGAGCTTCTGGGTTCAATCCCTGGGCTTGGCTGTCCCTTTCAGGGATTTTATTTTTCATTATGGGTGGCTCTAGGTTCACCTGCTATAAAAACGAAAGGACTAATATCACCATATCTCTTTTTTTCACGCAATGTGTAATGTGCCCGGAGCAAGGCGCTTCACGTACCTTATTTTAATACGCGCTGTATTTCCATTCTCTCATTGTCTTCACAGAAAATCCCTCTAGTTAGATTAACGAGGTGAGTGGACAAGGTTTGATGCGGGTGGCTTTGTGTGTTTTGGATGAAACAAAAATTCTTTACCATACTTGGACGACTCATTCGATGCGATTTTCATCATAAACTGGGTTCTTCACTGCATAAATAGATCACTATCGGCAACCTTGATTTATCCACTGCTGGATGAAGGCCTCCCCACGCTGTCACCGTCCATCCAGTCCTGTGATGCCACAATCCGTCTCCTGCTTCAAGTGCATGGGTGTGTCTCCTGTGTGTGCGTCCATGTACACGTGTGTGCGTGCATGTACACGTGTGTGTGTTTGCGAGCGTGCATTTGTGCGGTAATGCAACGGTTAGCGCGCTGCGCTACAAACCCGGCGACCCGAGTTTGATTCTCGTTGACGGCCAACACCAGTGACGAATATCTGAACCTGTCAGGGGCCTCCCCTAAGTCGACTCAGCCTCAAATTAGTTCCTACTGCAGTGTGTAAAATCATCGCCAATAGGGAGACAAAGGCGGTTGGGCGTGGTGCTGGCCACCCACCCCCTCGTTTACCGTGCCGGCCTTCATAGGTGCTTGCTAACAGCACTTGCTCCAATAGTCTGTTTAGGCTATACGGGGGATCTTTGTCTTTGATGTGTGCTGCTCAGGGGACACTGACCCTTTATTGCATTTATATTACATTGGGTAGAACGGTGGTGCAACCCGGCAAGCTGACTGCAGCTTCCAGCCACAGATGACGTCAGTGGTGAGTCACATCTGATCTCGCCCTGGCCCCTTCTAAGTTCATTCAGGCTTAATTCAGCACCTGATGTCATGTATAAGCATCAACACTGGGAAGAAATAGGCAAACAGGGCTGGTTCTGCAAGAATCACCTCATTTACCATGCAGGCCTTCACAGCAGTTGCCCCAACAGTCCATACGCCTCTACAGGAACCTGCGTGTGCGGGTGTGTGTTTGCAGCCTGCTGTTGATAACCCTGTCCTCAGGAGGTCTGCTCTTCTGCGATGTGCAGGTACGTACATCACAGCCACACTTGCACAGAGCTGCACTTACACCGCTGCTTCACTCCCACACAACGCCGCTGCGCACCCACACCGCGGCACTGCATCCACATGCAGTACTGCACACCCAGACAGCGCTGCACCCGTACTCACAACCATCAACATTGTCGAGCAGCTTAATGTGACTGACCTAGGGGGCCACTGACTATGCTGCTTACCTCCTGTCTGTGCCCTCACTGCACGAGCACCTCTGAGATTCGGTGTTCAAAGCACTCCGCTCACTGGGCAGCCCTGAGGTCAGTCAGAGAAATCCCACATGCCTGAGGCGGTGGCCATTCTTTGCACGATTATCGGTCATCACTTCCCAAGAAGTGATGCTCGTTTTTACTCACCACGGAGGGATGATGATGATGGTGGTGGTTAATGATGAGCTGTTGACCCTTCCGAGATGGCAAGATGTTAACTACCTTGCCTGGTATGCAGAAGGGTCGTGCGTTCAATCCAGACCCTGACGCCTGCTGTGTATGTTAACTACCTTGCCTGGTACGCAGAAGGTTCGTGGGTTCAATCCAGACCCTGACGCCTGCTGTATATTTGGAGTTTGCGTGTCTGTGAATTTCTCTCCGAGTCCTGCGTTTTTTTTTTTCCTTCCTACATCATCACTACGAACATCTGGGTCTGTGCCCTGTTGTCCTTCTGCCAGCGAGACTTCACCCCCTCCCCTACCCGTGTCGCCGTGCCATTGCAGTTTGACCCCGGCGGCTACGTGTGGGCATTGCTGCACTTCGTATGCGCCGGTGAGCACCTCCACCCGACCCATGCCTCTTCTTCAAACGCGAGCGCTGCACTTGCAACCCGGTCGAGAGGTCACCACCGCCAGGCCTGGCTCTCCGACGTTCCAGGACCTCGGCGGTGGCGGCCCCTGAAATCCTGGCTCTGTTTGAAATTGGGTTTTGCACCCCCACCCCCGCATTGTGTGTTCCGGACAGGGATCTACAAAGCCTTCTCCTATGAGCACAGCAAGAACCAGTCACTGAGGTACGACGGATGCGGTGGCCTCGTAGCGTGGTCGGCATGGGCACCAGTTCAAGGAATGCAATGGGGCCCACCCATCCCATTTCTCCTCCGCTTCGTAGCCCGCGCCCTGGGGGGGGGCCCTCTGGCCCAAGGAGCTCCAGTGCAGTTTCACCGCCTGCGCTCTCGGTAGCTACGCCACTGGATGAATGGAATCGCAGCCAAACTTGAGTTGGTGTGAACGTGGCCAACGATTGTACGGGGCAGAGACCCGTCCCGGCGGTGCGGTGGTCAGGGCCTGCAGCCTCGAGTCAGTATTATTGCAATTTCAAGTCCCAGTAAGAGGGCCAACTCCGCCCGTCATTCCTTGAGGTTTGGTAAAAATGAGTACCACGGCGTGGGACGTTAACAGTGGTTATCCTTTTTATTTTGACTTAAAACTTTCGTGACTGCAGGAATTCATATTTTTTGGTTCTTTCGGTAAAGTCACGTAGGTAGAAAAATAATGATAAAAATAAAGTGAATAAAAATAATAAAAATTAAGTAAAAAAAACAGTAATGTAGACTGTAGCCTGGTTATAAATCCGAGTGAGTCTACTGGCAGTCTATAATGTAGACTAGCCTGTTATTAAGTTTGGTGAGTGTACTGGCAGTCTATAATGTAAGCGCTTACATAGTATTATTCTGCCTCGGGCGAGGGGATCGTCGGGGGGGGGGGGGGGGGGGGGTAGCGGCCCAGCTCGCAGCCTGGCAACGTCTCACCTCCTCCGGCTTGCCAATCTAGGCGAGGCCGCGGGCTCTGCACGGGACGAGGCGTCACCACGCCAATGTAAAGTACAATTTTATTGCATCTTTCACGAAGAATTTAAGGTTTATTGTTTACTATTATTAAACAAGTAAGTTTACAAATATTACAATGATAATGTTTGTGTGCATGTCACTCGATGGGTTTCTATGTGTGTGGCTCCATGTCTGTGTGTAAGTCCATGTGTGTGTCTGTCTTTTTCAAACAGACAACGTCCCATGTGTGCGTACGTACAAGTGTTTGTGTGTGTGTCAGTCCATTTGTGCGCATATCAGTCGCTGTGTGTTAGTCCACATGTGTGTGTAAGTCCATACCTGTGTGTTTCACTCCATGTGTGTGTGTCTAAGTGAATGCGTGTTTATGAGTCGATGTGCGTGCATGGCTCCATCTGAGCGTGTAAGTCAATGTGCGTTTGTGTGTCTATGTGTGTCAGTCGATGTGTGTGTGTTAATCCATGTGTCTGTGTGTCACAGTCCATATGTATATGTGTGTGGAAGGCAATGTGTGTGTCAGTCTATGTATGTGTGTATGTGTGTAAATCCATGTGTGTGTGTCTTAGTCGATATGTGTGTGTGTAAGTACATGTGTGTTTACGTCAATGCGTGTGTGAGTCCACGTATGTCTGTGTGTGAGTTGATGTGTGTGTGTGAGTCGCAGTATGTGTGTACGTCGATATATGTGTGTGTAACTCCATGTGTGTGTATCTAAAGTGCATTTCTATGCGTGTGTGAGTCCATATGTGTGTGTGTGTAAGTCCATGTGTTTGTGTGTGTGAGTCGATATGTCTGTGTGTGTCAGTCCATGGGCGTCTGTGTTAGTCGCTTTGTATGCATGGCTCCATGTCAGTCAGTGTAAGTAAATTTCTTTGCGTGTCTGTAGGTCCATGTGTGCGTGTGAGTGAATGTATGTGCTTTATTGACCTGCTCAAGGCCGATGATACCATCAGTAGGCCTGGCCTCTGGGTTGTTTTTCATGCTTTCGGAGTCCCTCAAACTTTGCTCATGATCCTTAAGGACCTTCATGATGCTGAGCGGCCCCGCGTCAAACTATGTGGCCGTCAGTCAGAGCCATTCCCTCTACACCTTGGGGTGTGACAGGGATGTCCTCTGGCTCCACATTATTTAACATATCTTTTTAGCACGTAGTTCGTGAAGCCTTCAATGGCTGTACCCGAGGAATTACCATATAGTACAGATACAATGGGAGGGTGATCGATGCCTGGGTGCGGTCAAGGGATGCCTCCCTATTGCTCAACCATATTATGTATGCCGATGCTCTGGTGATTGCTGCTCACTGCTGCTCAACCTGGAGCTTGCCACTAAGAGGTGGGGCCTTACCATCAGCCCCACCAAAACTAAGCACCTGCCTGGGTATTTTGTACTATCGGACACTCCACCCCCACAACTCCCAATCGGTGTAGGGGCAGTAGTGGAGAGAATGGAGAGTTTCCCATACCTGGGCAGTGTGCTTATGACCGGCTCCAGTTTAACAGCAGAGGTCTCACTCCGAATCAGTCGAGCGGCAATATCTTTTCATCGGTTGCATAACGCTGTGTGGAAGCTACCTGGTCTGTCGCTCCGCACAAAGCTTCAGGTCTTCTCGGCCACAGTCATTCCCTCCCTTCTCTACGCTTGCGAAACGTGCACCCCCCTATTGGAGCATCTTCGCCAGTTCGAAACATTTAGGCTGGCCTGCTAACGATCCATCTTGGGTTTAACCATATATGTGTGTGTGTACGTCTAAGTCGATGTGTTTCTATGTGTGTGGGTAAATGTCTGTGTGTAAGTCCATGTGTGTGTGTGCCTTTTTTGCCCGAGCAACACCGGGCACTTACCGCTAGTGTAGAATATGTAGCAATGGTATTAAGCTGGGTGAGTGTACTGGCAGTTTATAATGTAGACTGTAGCCTGGTTCTTAACCTCGGTGAGCATACTGGCAGTCTATAATGTAGACTGTAGCCTGGTTTTTAAGCTGGTGAGCGTATTGGCAGTCTATATTGTAGACTTTAGCAATGGTTATTAAACTGAGTGAGTGTACTGGCAGTCTATAATGTAATGTACATTATATCATGTAATTGGCATTGATGTAATAGGCTGCAATCTGCTAATGAGAATTTTTTTAAATAAACAAGTATTCTTGCGCATTTTAGTAAAAGGAGAGTGTGTTGTTCAAAGTGTGCACATGTGAATACGCACGCGTCCACGTATGTTTGTGTGGGGAGCGGTCGTGCAGCGGTTAGCACGTTGCGTTGCGAACCCGGCAACCCGAGTTGGATTTCCACTCACGGCCAACACCAGTGACAATTATCTAAACTGGTTATGGGCCTCCCCAAGGTCGACTCGGCCTCAAATTAGTACCTGGTGTGGTGTCTAAACATTACGACTGGGGAGACAAAGGCGGACAGGTTCGTGGTGTTGGCCAACCACCCCCTCGTGTGCCATGGCCAGCCTTCAGAGGTGCTTGTGAACAGTACTTGCCTCCGCAGTCTGTTACAGGCTATACGGGGGATCTTTGTGTATGTATGTGTATGCGTGTATACACAGTTATGTGTGTGTGTGTGTGTGATTGCAGTGAGCTGGATCAGCAGTATTTAAACTACATTGTCAGGTACGATGTCCAACTGGATAATTTGCAATGCACGTATCTTAAAGACACCAACTAATACTATATAGACACGTAGTGATGTATCGATTATTAATTAACATCAGTTATTACCACTCTTGTTGCATGCATCAAATGACGTGTGTAAGAATCAATGGTTTTCTATTTGTGTGCTGTAATGGGCTCACGTGGCCGCTTAACTTGGCACCAAAGATGCGGTGAATTGTGACCCTGAAAGGTGACGATTTATTGCATCGTGGGGGTGAATTGGCAAGGAGCAGATATCTCAGTCCCGCTCGTATTTACACCACTGCAAGAACCACCGTTCGCCACCAATTGGCGGTGACATCACGACGGCACCCCCGTGCCAGGCGAGGTGTACTTTGAGCCCCCGCGTGAAGTGTCGAAGGCCCCGCTGGCATGAGTTCACAAGACAAAGCCCATGTGTCAGGTGTTGACCGACCGCACGACTGGCAATTTTCAAACGTGTGCACAGTCTGCCACGTCTGACGCTGTGATTAAGCTCACAATCATGTTGCGGGTGAAAATATGGGTCAGGGGTCGACTCTGTCCACTCATCCCTCTTTCTGTGGATGACGGGATGGGCACGACTTGTCATTGGTGTACCGTACATGGAAATGAACACGGCGAATTCTCTCGCGTCGGTGATTTTGAGAATATCGCCACGCAAGTGTATGGCGGCCGCTTGATTAGACGAATGGAGGTCAACTGCGTTTGCTTTCATTGACATCCCTGAATGGATTCACGTTCAAGCAGTTGACCTTATTTTGAGCGAGTGGCGGTGGCCGTGATGGACGTGGCACTAACGAGCGCTCTTCCGTGTGTGGTTCTGTTAGCGTTGTGGCTCTGCTGCCGTCGTCGCATCCGCTTGGTGAGTGTGAGGAGCGCAGTCGAGCCGGTAACACGCGTGAAGCACGAGTGACACGCGTGTTGCGCAAACACTTGACACGTGATGGACACAATCGGTGACCCACACCTTAAACTACAAATCGACACGCGCATTCCATGGCTCGCACATGACTCCCATGGCACGTGACAAATCAGTGACGCACCACAGATGTGCGACAATCGCGTCACGCGTGTCCCTCTGCTCCAGGTGACCTGCTCGGAGCGGCCGAGTTTCCATTCCTCTACTTCTACCGCTTCCACACCGGATGCCTGGCCAGGTAACGCTCGTCTGCTCGCTACGACATCTCCTCCCATCGCCACCATGGCAGTGGTCACGCTGTAGTCCTGCAGCATTCAACAAAACACTTGAAGGTGATGCTGTGCTGGCCGTGGTGCGCGAAGCACCAATAATGAGCTAACTCGCATTCGTCACCTGTTATATACATATTTTATTTTATCTTATTTCTCGAGCAATGTTCGGTGGTGGCAGATGGGGGAGGCCCTCATCCATCAGTGAATTCGCCAAGGCAGATGGTGAGAGAGAGCTAAGGAGCCAGCAAAGTCGTGTGAGGGAAGGGGAAGACGGGGGAAGAGGAGCGCACGGCTGGAATGGAGGCACCCGCCCGTCGCGCCACACTCCTGGTTAGAGATCCCAGATTAACGGCCGATTCTAAAGCCACTCTGATGATTGCGGGGGAGATGATCACCTGTTTACAGCGCTGAGCCAGTGAACATTCTACATTCCTATGGCAGGGAGCAGTGCCTCTGTAAACCACAGTTGGCTTCCCACTTTGGTTTTATTCCGTCCTTCGACCATGCGGGAGTGAAAGGTCGCACCGACCCTCAACCGGAATTTTAACTGGAGCTGCCCAATCGCAAACTGCATCCTCTGTTGACGGCACCACCACCACCAAAACTCAACCACCACTCAATATTACTACTAGAGACAAATACAAAAAGATCCCCTATATAGCCTTAACATATTGTTAGGGAAAGTGTTCTTAGTGATCTTAGTGAGCAATTATGAAAGCTAGTACGGCACTTGAGGGAGTGGTGGCAGATTGGGGAGGCCCTCATCCAGCAGTGAATGGCCAAGGCGGATGGTGAAAGAGAGAGAACAGTGTTATTAGCGAGGGTGTTATCAGTCCGCAAGTACATTAACCGAAGAGTAGTCATTCCGATGAAGATTGATTGTTGTCCTCCGGGCACTGACGCGTGCGTGCAGCAGTTAACTACTGCTGTTTCTTGTCCTGTACCTGTGTTTCACTGCTGTAGATTGCACCAATTCCTAGCGGTAGATTCTGCATACCTGTACTAGTATATGTGGGCTTGTAGCACTTTAGTAGAGACTGGCCCCTGCCCTAATAATGTTGAATTTCCTACATTTGACCTATGTTTTAAGTTAACGTGGAATATCTGCTACTGGCTGCGGGCTGCCAGTGAAAAGTAGTACTGTCCCAAGCTCGTTGGAGCAAGCGAGGCACTCGGACAAGGACTTTGAACCCTGACCATGACCCTGACCCCGTCACCCCCAGTGGGATCCTAGGCTTCCTGTTTGTGGTGACGGGAGACCGCTTGAAGGCATGCATCTCTTCCGCCGACTTCTCCATGTGGCTGCTCGCGGGGAAGGTACGCTCGTCGCGAGACGCCGGGGAGCGGCGCCGCCTCACAGCGCACACGGCGCGTGACCCTTAACCGGCCGTGCGCGCGAATCCTACGGGTGTCAGCTCCGGGTCCGGATATTGAGGGTCAACGTGTTCCTTCGCTTCCTCTGTGTGTTGTTCCCCGTGCTGAACCCCGTGCCACCGTTATCTCCGTCTCCCTCTTGCGCTTCGGTTTCGCCGTGAAACTTGGCGGGGGAGCGGGGTTCCCTGCCAGCCTCGCGCGGCTCATCATCATAGTCATCATCTTCCCCCCTGTCTGACAATCCAGCATTGCCCCCTTGTCGGCATCCCATTATTTATGACTCTACTTTGTCTGTCCGCCGATACCCAGCATGCATGCGGGCCCCGTTACCCAAAATTATTTGCGTATCGCTGTTTCCCACAATGCATGGCACTTGGTAACCCCCCCAGCGTCCTTGGCGTGCCCCATTACCAAGAGTGAATGCGTGGTACGGCTCTTTGAAATACGATACTGTCATTTCCTGTGAACGCACACCCAGTATTGTCAGATCTTATAAGCGCATCAAAGTTGAGCCTGGATAGTGCTTGGATGGGTGACAATGGACGCTTTGCTGCCACAGTCGACCGCGGAGTGGTGGTCAGCAGAGGGCAGTGCAGAAATATCCGAAGTAATTCAATGCTGCCACGTTAGTGCGCTCCTCCTCGAACAACCTGCACTGTTCAGCGTGCTGAAGTATGGTCAATAGACCATGGCGTGAGGAGGCCGGCACCCAGCAGTGGATTGTCAGAATTGGCTGCACATGTGCGGGTGCAGGAGATATCTGCTGCGCGAGTCCATCCAAGGGAATCTGCTCTGTGACCATCTTTTCCCACGCCCCCGCCCTGTGTTCCAGATGTACGCGTGTGCCCTATCCATCGTCCTGTTTGAAAGCACGCTGACTACGTGGATGGGAATCTGGTAAACGCAACACCTTCAGTATCTATGCAGCAGAGCCTCAACATTGGCCTTTGAACAAATTGCCACATGCAAGAATAGAATCATAGGTAAACAAGTGGGTGGGAGCGTAGCAGCCATGATCCTGACTTAAAGTTCGCTTGAAATTTAGTGCAAAAAAGGCTCAATGGGTGATGATAGAGCTTGCAGTCTTCACCCAGTCCGTTAGGGACGCTTCGTCAGTCGAGGTTTTTAGGGCTCGTCTGAAAGCACATTTACTTTCTCTTGCGTATCCGTCTGTGTCAGGTTGTTTTCCCTCTTAATTTTAATGTTAAGGGTTTAAATTTTTAATTACTGGGATTGTGTTGTAAAGCACCATGTGGCCTTGCGTGAATAGCACTAGATAAAAAGTTGTACGTACTTACACATAAAAGAGGTTATACCCCAGCTATGTCACTGGAGGGGGCGCTATGGCCATGTTCTTGAACATCACAATATCGCAATAAAGCAAACTGCTCATCAACGACACCTCCAACTGGTTGGTGTTGAGGGTGACTTTCAAATGACTTTGCTGGGCCACGCACTGATGTACGCCGCAGTCACTTCTGTCACTGCACGAGGCCCTTGAAATGGCATAAATGGCCGATTGCACTAATTTTTTTAAACACAGCAATTACTGGCAGGTCGAAAATATCCCCTCTCTCGAGATGCTCGCAGTGATGGGTGAATGTTGTTAGCTGGCCCTGTCATGAGGTGGGCGCACACCTGGTGTTGGCACGGGCCCTGTGAAATTAAATACTGGGCCCCCCCAGGTCCCCACGTCTGCCACACAGCGATGCAGTCAGGCGTCGGCTTGGCCTCATCTCAACGTTAACCCACAGCCATCGCGAGGATCTCGAGGCCCACTGGGAATCTCGGGCGTCCTTCGTCACAAGGCCGTGTCCGGCCCACGTGCCGTAGATTCCCCAGCTCTGCCCTAAAGTCGCCACGTGTTCTTCCCCCCAGCCTCCTGCTCGGCCTGGTCAGCGAGGTTCTGCTCTCGCTGGGCGACAAGTGGCAGGAGGGCGGCAGCGACTGCCTTGGGGTCAGCTCCTCCCTCCAGCAGAAGGTGTCGCTCGCCACCAGCGGCATCGGAAGCCAAGGAACCAGCAAAGTCGTGTGAGGGGGAGACGGGGGAAGAGGAGTGCGCGGCTGGAATGGAGGCACCCGCCCGTCACTCCGCACTCCTGGTTGGAGGTCCCAGATTAACGGCCGATTCTAAAGCCGCTCAGATGATTGCGGAGGAGATGATCACCTGTTTACAGCGCTGAGCCAGTGAACAGTCAACATTACTATGGCAGGAAGCAGTGCCTCTATGTAAACCACAGTTGGCTTCCCACTGGTTTTATTCCACCCATCGACCCTGCAGGGGTGAAAGGTCGCAACGACCCTCAACCGGAATTTGAACTGGAGCTGCCCAATCGCAAACCGCATGCTCTGCTGATGGCACCACCACCACCAAAACTTAACCATGACTAATAATAGTACTACTAGAGACAAATACAAAAAGACAAAGATCCCCTGCATAGCCTTAACATATTGTTAGGGTAAGTGCTGTTAGTGAGCACCTATGAAAGCTCGCACGGCACGTGAGGGAGTGGTGCGGCTAGTACCACGCGCGGCCGCCTTTGTCTCCCCAGTGGCAATGTTTACACATCACACCAGGCACTCATTTGAGCCCAAGTCGACAGGGGGGGGGGAGGCCCAGGGCTGGTTTCAGATAATCGTCACTGGTGTTAGCCATGAGCGGGAATCTAACTCGGGTTGTCTACGTCTGCATAATGAAGTGTGTATTGGTGAAGCGAGTGGTGAAATATCGGCGTGGTTTTTACACCTTGGTGTAATGAGCCACACAGGTTATCAGCTTGGCACCGGGCCGTGGAGTTCCCGCACGTGCTGGATGTACAAAATATTTTTTTTTACAGTATATACTGTATGCGTATAGCGTTTTAACTTTTTTATGCTCTATGTAGCCATGGTCTGTTGGTATCTCTGAAAGTATATTTTGGAAAAGTCGTGAAAATAATAATTTGATAAAACAGTATTTTTGATGATGGGGGACGGGGGGGAGAATGAGATGCGGTTGCGGTGTGAGGTCGTTGTAACGCGGGCGGGGCATCAATCGTGGTTTGGGATTTAACACGATCTTGGCATGCGGCATTTTCCACTCTTAATACGATTACTTCATTACTTCTTGACTTAAATCTTTTGTGACTGCAGGAATACATATTCTATGGGTCTTTCGGTAAAGCCACGTAGATAGAAAAATAATAAAAATTTCACGACGTTTCGATCGCAACACAAGCATTCGTCTTCAGGTGAGAGAGAAAGCTGCTGAGACGAGGTCTTATATAGGCCTGAGATGGGTGCATCAAGGTAGGTGGGTGGAGCTAGAGATGGTCCAACCACAGAGGCTGGGGCAGTGTCCTTTGTATTGAGAGATTAGCCTGTAGGGCGCCACCAAAGCTGTGGAGGTTGCCATTGTCTTGTGTGTAGCCCAAGGGTAAGTGGGAGGGGCTAGAGATGGTATTTTCATGTAAATGTAGATCGGAGGGCGCCCTGAGGCTGTGGAGGTGGCCATTGTATTGTGAGAGATTAGCCTGTAAGCTGTGGAGGTGGCCATTGTATTGTGTGTAGCCCAAGTCTAAGGGGGTGGGGCTACAGATGGTATTTGCATGTAAATGTAAGATTGGAGGGCGCCCTGAGGCTGTGGAGGTGGCCATTGTATTGTGATAGATTAGCATGTCAATGTAAGAGAACCACTGCAACTGTGGATATGCTAGTGAGACATTCAGCCTGTCAATGCAAAGACATCCAACCTGGCAATGCAACTCAGAGAGTCGGAAATAACTGCTGACATCGGCAGGTAGGATGGAAACATCATAGCCAGTTATGACTTAAACTGGTTAATAACGTCCTTCCGGTGATTGCTCAGTTTGTACCCATCTCGGTTGAAATTGTGTGTTTATATATCTGAATGGCTTCATGAACTAATCTTTGTTGATAGCCAGTAGGTTTGCAGAGTACCTTCGTCTTGGAAAAATCTACTGGCTATCAACAAAGATTTGTTCATGAAGCCATCCAGATATATAGTCTAAGGCATAACTGGCTATGATGTTTCCATCTTACTTGTCGATGTTCGCTGTTATTTCCAACTGAGTTGCATTGCCAGGTTGGATGTCTTTGCATTGACAGGCTGAATGTCTCACTAGCATATCCACCGTTGCAGTGGTTCTCTTACATTGACATGCTAATCTATCACAATACAATGGCCACCTCCACAGCCTCAGGGCGCCCTCCGATCTTACATTTACATGCAAATACCATCTGTAGCCCCACCCCCTTACACTTGGGCTACACACAATACAATGGCCACCTCCACAGCTTACAGGCTAATCTCTCACAATACAAAGGCCTCTGCCCCAGCCTCTGTGGTCGGACCATCTCGAGCTCCACCCACCTACCTTGATGCACCCATCTCAGGCCTATATAGAACCTTGTCTCAGCAGCTTTCTTTCTCTCACCTGAAGACGATTGCTTGTGTTGCGATCGAAACGTACGTGGCTTTACCGAAAGACCCATAGAATATACTTCATTACTACCTAATGCATTTCCCTCTTTGGGGATAATTTCACCTCGGACAACTGCACTGTGGCTCCTACGCCTGGCGGTCGTGTCGCGTCGTCTGTGTGCATTGGCTGTTGCTGTCCTCGTTAACGCAGCTGCCAACGTCACCATCTTCTTTGTGCTTGGAATACTTGTTAATTTTTCCTTGACAGTAAAATCATCAAACTAATCAACTTGTACATTATAAGTGATGATAAGTGATTTTTCCCATGAAAGTTTAAATATGGGATTGTCCGGTTACCTGCCTTTACTTGTACTGTGACACTTATCCTGAGGTGTGTGGCCATGTTGTACGCTGGATAACGGTGGAATAACTCTCACTGGCAATAAAACTGTTCTTGTGTACGTGCACGAGTCGACGTGTTCGTGACTTGGTTCCATTCCTGGACATCGCGCACAACACCAATGGAAAGTTACGTTTAAAAGGTAGCCGTGTCTCTAGTTCACATGTTCACCTATTCACTCGCTAGCTCGTGCACACCGAATCCCTGGAGTGTACCCACTCGCTCAGTCTCGTGCATGCACACGCACGCTTCCAAAACGAGACCGTTGCTTGAAACATTTACCAACTATTCAATGTGTCTCTAATCGAGTGAGCATTGTTTGGTGCTCATCTCTGAGTGAAAGCGAGCCAATGGTGGATTTTCCACATACGGGTTGTCGTGTATAGCCCTTGAAATGGGTTAAAACTTTTCTAATTGGTACCGCCCATGGTGGCAAGGCCTAACAAGTATATTCTTTAAACATCCGATTCTCTAGATTACAAATATGCATAATGATAGCAAGGTCACCATGGGAGTGTCTTGTGAGAAGTAATTTAACGAAGGTAAAGACAGAAAATATCACTTCAGAAACAAATGTGATATATAGCATCTACGGAACATGAAAACAAATATTCGTTGTGTGAGTATATGAAGGAGTGTGTACACCACGCGTTCTGCCCGTTGGTGGACACTGGTAACATATAAAAGCAGATACCGCTATTTCAGTGCACACAAACGACAGGAGGAACAAGAACAATGGGCTTGCGTAATGTTCGTTGATTATCATGTATATAACCCAACCGGTAATGGATATCCATTGTAATCCATATGCATCCATTAATCCCCCCCCCTCTTCGCACAAGGGCTCAAGTGACGTCATCACATCTACTCTCGAAGGAACGAAACAAGTATGGCTGCCGCCTGATTACTGGCGAAACGTCGTACTCAGATTGTAAATCTTGTGGATTTGCTCTCCAACACACCGGTGTGCTGTACTAGTCACGAATTGGCACGTTTTGTTTATGTTACAAACCTATCTCGGCCTCGCTGTGCGCTGCGTTGCACCGCTAGTCGAGTAGACAACCATGTGTTCAATAAACCCTCGGAGCCAGGATGACCGTCCAACTCCGATCGTCATTTATTGATTGTAACAGGTAAAACTGGTGAGAAAACACAGATACAGCATCTGTTATAATTCGGAAACACCCACACAATGAACACCACAGCATCAGAACATTGTCTCAGATAACAATAGATCCTGGAAGGACCAGGCCCCCACATTACCCCTGAACAACTAGACAAAGGCACAAGCTGGTGCGTTGCATACAGGCACAGTGTATTCATCCCACTGCACCCCAAATGTACAGCATTACACTTAACACTAAACTGTGGATGAGATACTTCGTCATCACTCTCAGGATCGCAACATAGGCACAAGTCTGACTCGACCTACTAAATCACAAGTAACATCCACAATAAGAAAAGTCACAGGCTTCGTTACTAACTAGGCCTCGTATTTACTACAACAACTTAACGGCACCATAAAGGCATTTACATTGCTATAGCGGTCATTCCAACATTACAACAGCATTTCCAATATTATAGGAATACTAGCGGAAGTACCCGGCTTTGCCCGGGTGAAAAATATCTTTCTTAAAAACCTTACATATATATATACACAGATACTAAGGTATTGTCAAAGCCCGGTGGGCTGTTTGTACATTTTTCCACCAACAAATATATAAGAGGCTTTCACAAGTCCAAAAAGTTGTAGAAAGTGTGGGGTAAATAGTTGATGTCAAAAGGTTTCCGAAAATTGTGGTCTCCCCCCCCCCCTCAAAAAATATCTTTACCCCTCGTAGGTATATATACTAACAACACCTTACATACAACATAGGAAGTGGTATCTATTGACTCTGTAGTAGTATCTACTGACTGTACCGTAGTATCTACTGAGCCAGTAGTAGCTACTGACTGTTTAGTAGTATTTAGTGACTGTAATAACTACTGACCATAGTAGTATTTACTGGGCCTACAGTAGTATCTACCGACTATATACTCGTAACGACTAACTGTATAGTATCTGCTGACTCTATAGTGTATCCACTGACTATAGTAGTAACTACACAATCTATAGCAGTATCTACTCACTCTATAATAGTATCTACTGACTCTAGTAGCTACTTACCGTAGCAATATGTACTGATTGTATAGTAGTATATACTGACTGTAGCAGTATTGACTGACTGTAGTGGTATATACTGACTGTTTTAGTATTTACTATAGCGGTATCTACCAACTCGATAGCAGTATCTACTATCGCTACAGCAGTGTATACCGACTGAGGTCGTACCTGCTATCACTACAGCAGTGCATACTGCTGTGTTGGTACCTGCTATGATTACAACAGTGCATACTGACTGTGGTGGTACCTGCTATGATTACAACAGTGCATACTGCTGTGGTGGTATCTGCTATGATGAGAGGAGTACATATTGTGGTGGTGGTACCTGGTATGATAACAGCAGTGCATATTGACTGTACTCATCATTCACCCTCACCATTCACCACTCACAACTCACCCTTACCACTCATCCTCACCACTCACCACTCCCACTCACTATTCACCATTCACCCTCACAACTCACCACTCACCAACCTCCCTCACCAATCTCCCTCACCACTCACCCTCACCCTCACCACTCACCCTCACCAATCACCACTCACCCTCACCACTCACTCTCACCACTAACCCTCACCACTAACCCTCACCACTCTCACTCACCACTCTCCCTCACCACTCACCACTCACTCTCACCATTCACCCTCACTAATCACCACTAACAACCGCCACTCACCCTCCCCACTCACCCTCACCACTCACCCTCACCAATCACCACTCACCCTCACCACTCACTACTCACCCTCACCACTCTCCCTCACCACTCTCCCTCACCACTCTCCCTCACCACTCTCCCTCACCAGTCACGCTCACCACTCACCACTCACGCTCACCACTCACCCTCACTACTCACCCTAACCACTCACCACTCACCCTCAACACTCACCCTCACCGCTCACTACTCACCCTCACCACTCACCCTGACCACTCACCACTCATCCTCACCAATCACACCCTCACCAATCACCACTCACCCTCACTGCTCACCCTCACTGCTCACCCTCACCACTCACCCTAACCACTCACGCTCACCCTCACCACTCACCCCTTACTAATCACCATTCACAACCGCCACTCACCCTCACCACTCACCCTCACCACTCACCCTCACTACTCACCACTCATCCTCACCAATCACACCCTCAACAATCACCACTCACCTTCACCACTCACGCTCAACACTCACCCTCACCACTCATGCTCACCACTAACCCTCACCACTCACCCCTCACTAATCACCACTCACCCTCAATACTCACCCTCACCACTCATGCTCACCACTAACCCTCACCACTCACCCCTCACTAATCACCACTAACAACCGCCACTCACCCTCCCCACTCACCCTCACCAATCACCACTCACCCTCACCACTCAACCTCACCCTCACCACTCACCCACACCACCACCACTCTCCCCCTCACCACTCTCCCCCTCACCACTCTCCCCCTCACCACTCTCCCCCTCACCACTCTCTCCCTCACCACTCTCTCCCTCACCACTCTCCCCCTCACCACTCTCCCCCTCACCACTCTCCCCCTCACCACTCTCTCCCTCACCACTCTCTCCCTCACCACTCTCCCCCTCACCACTCTCCCCCTCACCACTCTCCCCCTCACCACTCTCCCTCACCACTCACCACTCACTCTCACCATTCACCCTCACTAATCACCACTAACAACCGCCACTCACCCTCCCCACTCACCCTCACCACTCACCCTCACCAATCACCACTCACCCTCACCACTCACTACTCACCCTCACCACTCTCCCTCACCACTCTCCCTCACCACTCTCCCTCACCACTCTCCCTCACCAGTCACGCTCACCACTCACCACTCACGCTCACCACTCACCCTCACTACTCACCCTAACCACTCACCACTCACCCTCAACACTCACCCTCACCGCTCACTACTCACCCTCACCACTCACCCTGACCACTCACCACTCATCCTCACCAATCACACCCTCACCAATCACCACTCACCCTCACTGCTCACCCTCACTGCTCACCCTCACCACTCACCCTAACCACTCACGCTCACCCTCACCACTCACCCCTTACTAATCACCATTCACAACCGCCACTCACCCTCACCACTCACCACTCACCCTCACCACTCACCCTCACTACTCACCACTCATCCTCACCAATCACACCCTCAACAATCACCACTCACCTTCACCACTCACGCTCAACACTCACCCTCACCACTCATGCTCACCACTAACCCTCACCACTCACCCCTCACTAATCACCACTCAGCCTCAATACTCACCCTCACCACTCATGCTCACCACTAACC